CTTTCATCTTTTTAGACCCCCACGAGCTTGTCACAGTAAGTTCTCAAATGAACCTTGGGATCACCTATTCCGTCAAACATTTCGAACTTGAAAGGTTTGTAACCCTCCGACAGTTCCACGTCTGGTTGTATGTACAGATCCTCATAATTTAGACCTTCTATCACTTTACCTTCTTCAACATCCTGAACTCAACTTGTCAATTTCTTGAGTTCATCGGCCATGTTCTTAATGAGTAGGTCCTTCTCAGTAGATTCTAGTGTATAGGAGATTGGTTGAGTGGAGTGAGGTATGGTTTCCACATATATGGGGCTGTTTTGGTGAGTGCCAGGGATTTGGGTGTAGTGGTGGTCGTCGGTTAAGTTTTGAGGATCAAGAATGGGTTGTTGTGTGTTTTGAGGAATGTGATAGGTAGTGGTTTGTGGATACTGGGTAAGTTGATGATGGTGTTATAGAGGAGTTGGTATCGGTAAAGGATTGGGGTTTTGAGGTGGAGCTGCATATTGATGGGGTGCAGGAGGATTTTGTGGACGCTAGTTTGGCGTATTTTGAGAAGTTGCTGGGTTTTGAGTATTTTGTTGGTTAATGTATGGGACATTCAGAGTGAGGGAGAGGTTTGCTAAGTTTCGGACCTGCTCAAGTTCTCATTGTAACTCTAGTATCTTTTGTTCTAATCGCAAAACCAAGTTATTTTGTGCCAGAGTACTCCGATCGTCTGAAGTTTCCACATTCTCAGCGTTTTCTTTTCGAATACCACTCAAGTCATCCATCTTAGCTTTTCCTCTACTTTTCGTATTACTTGGAGGAGGTGTAGGGCCTTTAGATCTAGTGTGATATGTTGATGATGCTAGTATGTGCGAACCAACCCTAGAGGATGTGAATAATAATAAAAAATAAAGAAAAACAAAAGGTAAAAAGTTAGTAAGGATTTTGAAAAGTTTGCGGTATTTAAACACATATTGCGGGAATGTAAATTCGTGTCCTAATTTGGGAGCCTTGTTGTGCTCGAGGTAGGCCTAGCGACAAATAAATTTGGAGAAATTCAGTGCCGATAATTACCTCATTTTATTAATGTAAAGATAGACAACCCAAAACGACACTAAAATAAGATAAGTCACTAATGGCACTTGGCCTTATTACATTTGAAAAGCAAGTAAACCTAATCTACTTGGTCCCAGAAGGACCTTCTCCAGGCTGGATGCTCTTGTCGATCAGATCCCCCAGTTCACGCAGGTTCAGCAGTAAGAATGCCCTTGCCAAGTGTCCTCCTTCGTTTCCTTCAGCCTTCTGGCAATCAGTGACTCTCTTCCTCATTTCCCCTTCCAATTCCATCAGACTGTACTCCAGATATTCCAACCTTTCGCTGGATTTAACAACCCTCAATTTCCACTCATTGATCATTTCCATATCAGCTTTATGTTGCTCTATATGCTCGGCTTCAGACTCGCAAACTCTTTTGCACAGTTTGTTGTACATCACTTGTGTTTCGACAACTTCGTCTATGACCCTGTTTCCTGGACCAACTCTTGGCTCGAATATTTCTCTTATGTTGTCATCCAACCATGAAGGGTAAAAGTACACATGACCGGCGTGATACCGATCTGGCTCGATGGTATCCTTTTTCACGATAATCTTCAAGTGCCACATGTGTTGTGCTTATTTTTATATGGAATGGAGTCACCCTGAAAATCGGCTATGAACTGACTCATTTTAGCGACTCGCGGTATGACCTACTTCCTGCCTGTCCGTCTCATAACCTTGAGGGGAGCATAAGGGTATATGCCCTTTAACCTGATTAGTACCAAGTGTGGAACGTCCCTAGATCTGATGATGAACTCGTCGGTAGGGAACCACTCGAACATCCACTGAACCTGGTCCTCGGTCAAATTGTTGAAAAACTACACCCATCCTATAGCATCCTTTGGTTGAGCAAACATGTCTGGGATATAGGTCATTTTCTTGGGATGATGAAAGGCTATATGATCATTCCACGGCCTTCGCAGAAATTCCTGACGGTATTGACCTTTTTGGAGATGTTCTAACAGCCAAACTTGCAGCAGCAAATTTCAACCCTCGAAGTATCTATACCTCTTCTGACAGCTCTCCAAGGCCCGATACATTTCTGCAATGATCATAGGGATAGTGGTATATGTCTACCCCTCGATCCCGTCCATCAACGTTTTGGACACCATGGCCAGCCTGGTGTGGATTCTGTCTCCATAGATTGGGAACACTAGCATACCCAAGAAACACATGATGAACACAAAGACCCTACGGTGAATCCAACCCAAGGAGGTGATGGAGAATTCATCATCGAAAATATGGTAAGACCTGTTGTGACCGTATCGTTCATAGAGGAAGTCGAAGGGTATGTAGGAGTTTTTCAGGCACTCCAAGTCATCATTCTTCTTTAACCCCATCATCTTAAGGAATCCCTTAGTGGTGCGATTTTCAGGTACCAATAAATCAGGGCTATCCCAACGCAACCCAGCGAATCCCCCTATTTCTTCCAAGAGAGGGGTCATTTCTATGTCTCCAAAGAGGAACATAGCCCTTTCTTTGTCCCAGAACATTGTAGCTGTATCAACCCCTTTGGGAGGGTGCTACTTAGGAAACAAATCTAATTTACTACTTGTAAAATATTAAAAAGATATTAGTTAAAAATATTCAGAATAATTTAGTAGCAGAAATAGGCCTATGCGAAAAGGTTCAAAATGCAATATTTTCTTTTTGAACATACACTTCATAATTTTATTTTAAATGAAATACAATGTCAAAATATCAACATAAGTGATATAACCCTTCTTGAACAATCAACAGATTAAAGCAACTTCCTAATAAATTTATACTTTCATTCAACATCACTGCAAGTTTGTATTGTACATATTTACAAGACAAAGTGTAAATTTAGAATATTACAAGACTTGAGTTATTAACACACACTAAAATAGCAAAACAAGTTACCAAATTTAAATTACAAGATTTTGGTCTTAAAATCCAACAAGCCTCCAAATAACATACATAAATATGACATACATATATCATGTACATGTCCCAAAACTATGCAAAACCAAGGTGCATATGCAAATGTGATCTCGATAAGTGCTCCCAAAAGACTACTTCATAATGGCCGCCTTCAGATTTTATCCTGTACATTACCTACGATAGAAAATAGCCATCGCTAAGCATAAAGCTTAATGGCGTATAAACTTTGGGCTTGGAGTCATTAAATTCTTCAAGTCCCCTTTTCTGTCATAGTTAGCTCAATTTAACATAATTTAAAATAAGTGAACAAATATATCAAACATATCAAATATCAAACTTTGAAGTATTTCCAAATATCAATAACAATGTTCAAGAGTCGAGAAAGCGTATACTATCAATCCTAGAGAGTTTACCAAATATCCATATTTCTTCCAATATATACGTCATGCCATCACACTAAGCATAATCAGATATCAAGATGGACCGAAGCCCCAAATAAAGTAGGGTCAAAACCCAATAGTCAAGAGAATCAAGAACCATATTAAAAATGGCTTCCTAGTTCGTACTTAACAAGGACAAGTTCCATAATTTAAGACGAACTAAAAATCCAAAGTCAAGATGACAAAAGATCCAAATCAAAAGGCATGCCAAGAGGAGTGACAAAGTCACTGCCACAAGAAGGACATAGTCCCAACAAGAATGCAAAATGATCAAGCAATCCGTACAAATGGGTGATTTAGCAAATATCAGACAATACTTGATATAATACGAATATAACAATATAAATTGAAGACAAGAAAAATAAATATTAGGTTATTTCAAAATATTACAACAAGCAAAAAGAGTGCAAAGTTTATACACAAACCTTGGTATTTTACCACAAAACAGTTCAATCACAACTTGGGGACGTTCGAATCGTCTACGCCGTAAACAAACCAAATCCGTCCACTTCCTCAAATACTTTCCCTTTGATTTTTTTTCAAGGGTTTATATACCTTAAATACATAACAAAATATCCAAATAAGTTCATTGATTTAACATGTCAAACTAAACATGATATAGGTGAAAATTACCCAAAAATATTTGAAACAGAAATTTCGGACAGTATCGCTATTTCATGTTGCGACTCAGTTTTGAAGATTTAAACGGACACAATAGACTATATAGTTTTCATATAAGTTGTATATCCATGTCTTAAAATTTTAGAACATCTTGAATCACCCCCATATCTATTTTGCACAGAAAGTTATGCTAAACTTACTAATAGTAGTACATTGAGTATTTCTAAAACTGAAAATCTGGGCAGCACCTGCCTTGTACTTTCTGATCCCTTTTCGGGTAAATACAAGCAAAACTAGATTTTGATTCCTTCATAAGAGTTATATATCTATGAAATAATTTTCCAGAAAGTCCTAGATCACTTAAATTAGAGCTGTGTATAAAAAGATATGTAGAAAATACTAATAGCTGTCTAGTGTAAAAACGAGTTTAGAAACTTACCACAAAAAGAGAGGAGCAACTTGATCTTCACCAAATAACGAATTTTGCTGGTTGATTTAGTAGAAATTTATGGTGGTTTCATGAAGTTTTCAGAGGCTAAGAAGGAGAGAGGGTAGGTGGTTTTGTTTCTTTGTCTTGCAAGAATGAAACAAGAGAGACGGATATGGAAAGGCAAGTCTTCCAAAGTTATGTCTAAACTTTGGATAAGTATGAAAAATGTGGCTGCCGAAATTACTAATATCTTTAGATAAATATAAAAGGTTGGCAGACCAAGAATTTAATTATATAATGTATTTGATAACAATTCATCAAAATAATATTAAGTGTTACACGTAGCAACACCATGGAGCTTCTTTGTCAATATTAACACAACCTAAAGTAAAATATCTCCTCGTTATAAAAATGCTAAATCAAGAGTGCAAATATTATTAAAATTTTGAGGTGTTACAACTCTTTCCCCCTTAAATAAATTTTGTCCCCAAATTTACCTTGTATTAGTCCCGAAATAAATGTGGATATTAAACTCGCATATCCTCTTCTCGCTCCCAGGTAGCTTCCTCGCCTGAATGATTTTTCCAAAGAGCCTTCACTAAGGGGATTCTCTTATTTCTAAGCTCTTTTATCTCATGCGCTAAGATTTGGATTGGTTCTTCTTCATATGTCAAATCAGGATTAACCTCAATAGACTCAATAGGAAGAACATGAGATGGATCTGAGCGGTATCTTCAAAGCATAGGAACACATGAAAAACGTTGTGGATCTTGCCTAATTCAGGTGGCAAAGCTAGCTTATATGCAATCGGACCAATTCTCTCAAGTATTTCATAAAGTCCAATGAATCGAGGACTAAGTTTACCTTTTTGGCCTAATCTAATAATCTTCTTCTATGGAGACACTTTTAAAAATACCTTATCACCCACCTGATGCTCAATTCACGCCTTTTTAGATCAGCATAGGACTTTTGTCTATCTGAAGAAATTTTCAAACGATCCTTGATGATTTTCACCTTATCTTCAGTTTGTTGCACAATCTCAGGACCCACCAATTTTCTTTCACCAACCTCGCTCCAACAAAGAGGCGTTCTACATTTTCTCCTATATAAAGCTTCATAAGAAAACATGCCTATACTTGATTGGTAGCTATTATTGTAAGCAAATTCTATCAGGGCTAAGTGTCTGTCCCAACTACCCTCAAACTCGATAATGCAGGCTCGAAGCATATCCTCCAAGATTTGTATTACCATCTCAGATTGGTCGTCTGTTTGTGGATGGAAAGCGGTACTAAAATTCAACCTGGAACCCAAAGCTTCTTGCAAGCTAGATCAAAATCTGGATGCAAGCCTTGGATCTCTATTAGACACAATAGAAATAGGGATTCCAAGCAGCCTCACAATGTCATTGATGTATAATTCTGCCAAACATTGCAGTGAGTAGTCCATTCTGATTGCTAAGAAATGAGCACTCTTAGTTAGTCTATCTATAATGACCCAAATTGCATCATGATTTCTTTGAGTGCGTGGAAGTCCAGAAACAAAGTCCATCGTTATCCTTTCCCATTTCCATTCAGGTATTGACAAGGGTTGCAGTAAACCAGCTGGGACTTGATGTTTAGCTTTTATTTGTTGACATACCAAGCATTTAGAAATAAACTTTGCAATGTCTTTATTCATACCACTCCACAAGTAGTGCTCCTTGATGGTCCGATACATTTTAGTACCTCCAGGATGCATTGCATAAGGTGAACTATGTGCTTTAATTAAGATCTGCTTCCTCAATTTATCATCATTAGGAACACACAACCTATTTTTATAAAATAAGGTACCATCTCTCTTTAATGAAAAATCTGATTCTTTTCCATTTTGGACTTCTTCAACCCGTTTCACAAGCTTCTCATCTAACTTCTGCGTTTCTTGGACCTACTCAAGTAAGTCTGAGAAACGAATTTTTTTAAAGGAAATTGTTTTCTGAAATTGTTTAAAGAAATTTGAAGTGAAATTTGATTAGAACATGATGGTATTGGGCCCGTATTTTGGTTCCGGTGCCGGTACATGTCTTATATATGATTTAAGACATTTCTGTAGAATTTGGTGAAAAACATATGTCATGTGACGTGATTCGGACTTAAATCGCAAAATTTATGTTTAAAGAAGTTCTGAGAAAATTTCATTGATCTCGAGACTTAATTTGATGTTCATAATGTTATTTTGATGATTTGATTACACGAGTAGGTCCATATGATATTTTTGAGTTAGTATGCACACTTGGTTTGGAGTTTCGAGGGCTCGGGTGAGTTGCGGGTAGGTTCGAGATGTTTTAGACTTAAAACTAGAAGTTGCAGGTCTCTGAACCCGCCAGTGCGGTCTGCACAAAATCATGTGCGACTGCGGAAAGGGGCCTGTGCGGTCCGCGGTCGATTTCGTGCGGTGTGCGGTGGAGTCCTGTGCGGTCTGCGGTCGGTTTCGTGCGGTGCACGGTGGAGGCCTATGCGGTCGCCGTCCATTTCGTGCGGTCCGCACAGGGCACCAGACCACAGTACCTCAGGAAGGCCTATGCAGCCGCAGTCCATTTTGTGAGGCCCACACAGGGGGTCTAAGAGGAGTATAAATAGACGAGATTTTCAGTTATTTTGCACTTTTCAAAAAATCCCAAAAACATAAGAGACGATTTTTCAAACAACATTTCTTCTCCAAATCAATTGTAAGTCGTTTTTAACTAGTTTTCTTCAATCATTAACATCTTTTAACATGATTTCAACTTCAATCAATTATTTTTCATGGGGGAATTGAGTGTTTTGAGTAGAACCTAGGTTTTTCAAAAAATTGGGGATTTGGACCTCGATTTGAGGTTCGATTTCAAAACAAATTACATATTTGAGCTCGTGGGGTAATGGGTAATTGGGTTTTGGTTCAAACCTAGGGTTTTGACCACGTGGGCCCGGGGGCAATTTTGACTTTTTAGGTAAGACTTTGAAAAATTCATTTTCATGCATTCAAATTTATTCATCTAGCATTTATTGATGTAATTAAGTAACTGGTGGCTAGATACGAGCGAATTGGAAGAGGAATCGAGGGGTAAAACTAAAATTGAAACTTGAGTTGTGTTCGAGGCATCGAGGTAAGTGTCCGGTCTAACCTTAGCTTGAGGGATTAAGAGTTGAGTCCTATTTTCTATTTGCTTCTTGTTGAGTATGACGTATATGCATGGTGACGAGTATCTATATGTTGGTGTCAAGCATGACCGTGAGTCTTAAATTGATACTTGTTGTATTCTTGAATGTTACTATGGTTGAAATAGTGAGTAAATCCTTGATATTGAGCAAAGACTTAGTTTGTTTATCGTGGAATCTACTTATGATTGAGAAATGGTGGTAATTGAGATGAGTAGGAGTTGAGTTAAGATTGGTTATAGCTGATTCTCCCTTTCCGGGACGTATACACTTGTACTGCTGAGTTCCCTTGCCGGGATAATGTAGTCTATTGTTCATTCCTTGCCAGGACGATTAAATTATGATTATTATTGACTGTATAGTTGGAACGGGTTGCACGCCACAACATATATTATATTGGATCGGGTTGCACGCCGCAATAGGTATTATATTGGGTCGGGTTGCACGCCGCGACAGATATTATATTGGATCGGGTTGCACGCCGCAACAGATATTATATTGGATCGGGTTGCACGCCGCAACAGATATTATATTGGATCGGGTTGCATGCCGCAACAATGTTAAATGATAAGGGATCGGGTTGCGCGCTGCAACAGTATTGTTATTGTATTGTTGTAGATATTGAGTTGTTCTTTTATATTTTATTAAGTTTCTGTTGGTCTTGATATGTTTTCCCGAAGCATGTACCCCCTCCCATTTTAAACTGCTTATTCCTGTTTATTTTCCGCCATATATTTTATAACTGCACAGGTTTATCTGGAGTCTGGTCCTAGTCTCGTCACTACCTTGCCGGGGTTAGGCCAGGCACTTACGAGCACATGGGGTCGGTTTTGCAGACACTACACTCTGCACTCTGTGCAGATACCAGAGTGGCACTTGATCAGCAGCAGTAGAGGAGCTAGCCTTCAGTCCACCAAGGTAGCCTTGCAGTCATCCGCAGGCCTAGTGTCCCATCTATCCTTTATTATGTTCTGTTATCTCATGTATCCGACACAAACAATGTTATTTTTCCTTCAGACTGTTGTATGTAGTACTCTTAGTAGTCCGTGGATATTGTGACACCAGTTTCTGGGTAGAGGCATGTGTTGACTTTCGAAACATTTTGGTTGTATATTTATTTAAGACTTCCGCTTAAATCTCATATGCCGCTGTCATTTAAATGTTTATCACTTGTTAATATAAGTTGTAAAAAGGATTAAACTAGAAGAGTTAAAGATTTCTAGGTTCGTGGCTTGCCTAGCTTCTACGAGTAGGCGCCATTACGACTCCCGAGGGTGGAAATTTCGGGTTGTGACATCAATCAAGCTACCTCGTGGCGTACATATCTCAGGCCCTCGGCCTCATAATCAATATCAAATTTTTCCTCACAACATACCCTCGGCCTTACTCAGTCAAAATCCTCACAAGCCACTCGGACAGTAGTAAAACATGATTCTCAGACCAAAAATATCATTTAAGAGATCATGTAAGTGTTAAAATAGAGTAAACACAGTTGAGTACAAAAACAACGAAATATAACATGACTGAGTTCAAGTATAAAGTCAAAACAGTGAGGAAATACCAGTAAAACTCCCCGAAGGGTTCAAATAGTTGGCACAATGCCCAAATATGACATTCAGCCCAAATCATGATGATAGCAAATAGATTTTAGTCAAATACGTGGTAAAATAGTCATTCGGGATGGACTAGTCACAATCCCCAATAGTGCACAACCCCACGCTCGTCATCAAGCGTCTGCGTCACCTCAATATAGCACAGTGATGTGCAAGTCCGGGGTTTCATACTCTCAGAACATCATTTACAATCATTACTCACCTCGAACCGGTCAAACCTCTAGCTCGCAACATCTTTGCCCCTTGAATCGGCCTCCACTCACGTCAAATCTATCCAAAATCAGAACGAGGACGTCAAAATATGCTAAGGGAACGAAGCCTAAGCGAAAATAATCAATTTACAACATAAATCCCAAAATTACCAAACCCGACCCCCGGGCCACATCTCAAAATTCGATAATTTTTACATCAATATATTTCTTATCTCCCCACGAGTTTACACATATCAAAAGTTCTAAAATCCGACCTCAAATGGTCCTTCAAATCCTCAATCAAAGGTCTAAGTTTCCCTAGTTCTTCAATTTTTGGCTTAATTTCAATGATTATTTAGGTGAAATTCACAATAGAATCAAGTTTTAAGTCCAAGAATCTTACCTCCTAGTGATTCCCCTTTAATCCCTATTCAATCCCCTTCAAAAAGCTCAAATAACGACCAACAATGGAAGAAATAAACCCCAAAATCGTAGACAAGACGACCTTTTAAACCTTCTACCCCGACATAAATTCCTTCATTGCAATAGCGGGACATCCTTCGCTATCGCGAAGCACAAATTCTCAGCTCCCAAAATTAACACTATGTGAACGCGTAAAATCCCATGCGAACGCGATGCTTAGGCATCTAACACTACGCGATCGCGAACTGGCTACCGCGTTCGCAATGAACAACTTCAAGTCAAGACCCCTGGTCCACTTAACTCTACGCGAATGTGACCCACTCCACGCGTTCGCGATCAACAATGCCTTCACCTTATGCGATCGCATCCCCAGCTTCGTGAATGCATTGAGCAAACTGGACTGCCCCACAATAGCTCTACGTGATTGCGAAGAGTAAAAACTCTGTAACATCTGAACTCCAAAATCTACAACTCTCCAAGGCATGAAATGGTCCGATTGACCATCCGAAACTCACCCAAGGCCCCCGGGATCTCAACCAAAGGCACAAACATACCCCAAAACCTCATTCAAACTTGTTCCAATCTTTAAAACACCTCAAACCACATCAAATCAACCTAAACACATCTGATTCAAGCTAAACTTTCTAAAATCTTCCAAATTCCGCTTTTGATCAAAAACCCAACCAAACCACTTCCGAATGACCTGAAATTTTGCGCACACATCCCAAATGACTCAACGGAACTACTACAACTCTCAGAATTCCATTCCGACCCCTATATCAAAATCTCGCCTACCAACCGGAAATCGCCAAAATATCAACTTCGCCAATTCAAGCCTAAATCCACTCTGA